AAAGGCCCCTGTCCATCTGAATCAGCATCTCTGAGCCCTGGTTTCTTCATCTATCCAGGGAGCCTCAAACTTTTTAAACAAGGGGCCAGTTCACTGTCCCTCAGACGGTTAGAGGGCCATTGGAGAGTGCAGCACACATTCCACACATGCACACTGTGGGCCAAAGACGAGTCAGCTGCTAAGCAGGACAGGCAGCAGTGGCAAAAACACCTGGCGGGCCAGATAAATGTCCTCGGTGGGCCACATGTGGCCCACGGGCCATAGTTTGATGACCCCTGAATGGGAATCCAGTGAACCACATCTCTGGCATCCACACCTGTGTGCTGTCTTCTCTCACTGTGCCCGTGGGCGTGGCCATACAACCTATTTTTGGCCAAGGGGACAAATGTGACACAAGCTGGATGAGGGCTGTGCCGCCGGTCTCACCCTCCTGGGTCACAGCCCTCACCATGTGACGGAGCCCAATTTTGCCACATGGAGAATGAAAGGCCATGTGGTCTGAGGGACCCGGCTGAGCACACAGGCTCGCCAGGCCACCATGGGAGTGTAGTCATGTCAGCCCAGGTGACGCAAAACCAGCAGGAGAACCACCTTGCCGACCCACAAAATTGTGAGAAATAACAAATCGTCTGAAACCACCACATTTCAGGGGGGGGGGTTGTTCCATAGAAACAGACAACCGAAACACTTTCCCTTTAACTTCTATCTCTGACTTGTCAAAGCAAGTGTGACCCCTTTGCCACGTGACAATCCTTCAAGTGGCTGAAGGCAGACAGATCTCTCCCCCTAAGTCTTCTCCAAGCTGAACACCTTTTGTTCTTCAAGAGATTTTTGCTATTTGAAAATTTTCTCTCGTGTGTCCCTCTCTCTAACGAGTGGAGGGCTCAGCCAAGAAACGTGCCCACGTTTGGCCAGGTGTGGCGCGGGGAGCCTGCAGTCTTTGGTCCACGTGCCCTGCTTCTTCCGTGTGTCTAAGTCAGGGTCAGTGTGGCTTTTTTGATGTTCCCATCACACAGTGGCTCCTACGGCACTAAGGGTCATAGAACCCAGGCCTTTCCTCATGAGCTGTTGGGAAGTCATGAACTGTCCATGAACATTTGGCCATCTGAACCCACGTGTGGGCTCCTACTAAATTGATCATAGTGGTTTTGGCCTGTTGGGCCAACCCAACAAACAGGGGGCTTAGGGCTTCAACATATGCATCTGGGGGAGACATAATTTTCAATCCGCAAACTCCACTATAATCAGGCCTTCGACTGTGCCACTCAACTGAACCTGCTCTCACCAATGCCCCGACGACCTGCATTGTTAACTTCAATGGTCAACGGTCATTTGGTCTGAACTTTCTAAATCAAAACTCTATATAGCAACGTTTTCTCCTAACCTCCCTGTTCACTCCTCTAGCAAAATCTGTCCGTTCCGGCTGTTGCCACTCTTCCTCCACTCCCTCCTAGCCCACGGTATTAGTAAGCTTCAGCTGCCACAGCAAGTGCCACAGCCTGGGTGGCTTACACAACAGACATTTGCTTTGTCACAGTTCTGGAGTCTGGAAGTCCCAGAGCAAGGCGCCGGCACATTCCGTTTCTGGAGAGGCTCTCCTGGCTAGCAGATGGCCACCTCCTCTCTGCGTCCTCACTTGGCCTTTCCTCTGTGCATGTGGCGGGGATGGGGCTGGGGCAAAAGCCCCCTCCCCAAATACCATCACGTGGGGGGGGGGTATGGGCTCCAACATATGAATTTGAGGGGTGGGGGCACAATTTTTCAATCTACAAACTCTACTGTGATCAGGCTTTTGACTGTACCTCTCAACTGAAACGGCTCTTATCCATGCCACAACGGCCAATTCTCATTTTCATTTTACTTGCTGTGTCAGCAACATCTGACTCAGTTGATGGCCCCTCCTCCCAGGATGCTCTCTTTCCTTGGCCTCAGCGGAAGCCACCTCTCGGTTCTCCTCCTGTCCCATCGGCTCTTCTGTCTGTGCTGGGTCCTTGGACATCCGCCCTTCTTTACTGACCCTCACTCTAAAGCCGCCTCAACCATTCCCAACACGATTCCTCAAGGCCCGGTCTCCGCCCCGCACCTGACACAGGGGTCTGTCCCCCCCACCAGCAGCCAAGCTCCCCAGGGGACAGGGGCTTTGCTTTCTTCATTGCTCCCCAGTGCTAGAACCAAGCACAGCTAGGCTTAGGTGTTCAATATTAGTTGACTAAATCGATGCATTCTCCTTCTCAGCTATGGGCCATCTGTAGATTAAGGTTGTGTGTGTCACTTACATTTATCCAAGAAATTTGTTTTTTTTGTGTGTGGTCAAAAACATACAACCAAACATAAGCTCTGATATATAAGCAAAGGAAGACACAATCTTATGGATAGATACTATTAGGTCCAGACTGCAGAACAGCTTGATTAACCAAACAGAAATCTGTATATTTTTCACCACAGGCAATGGGAAACCATTAGAGGTTTCTGAGTGTAAGATGATAGAAAATGTCTCATAAATAACTTTCATTGGGTAGCATTTAAAAAAAAAATCTTAGGTCAACTTGGAAACAACTTGACTTTTTGTTTCCATTAGTTGGTTTTTAGAACCTGTTCGCAAGTATGCTTCATCTCGAATGGTCCTAAGTAATTCTCTGGGTGAGGGCCAGGACCGCCGGGTCATCTGCAAACAGATACACGTGGCTGCGAGTAGATTTATGCATCTGGGTCTTCCGACTCCATTTCACACTCACGGCACGTGCACTCCTTATGTAACACCTGTGCGCAGCTATATATAGCACACACAGAATCTTGTTTTCATAGCATACGTATAGGTTCTTGCCAGAGCTTTCTTCCAAGCAAGGGAGTCTGAGAAGAAAGCTGAGGGAACAGAATGGAAGAGGATGAGCCGATCTGGCACGAGCTCGCCACGCACACCAAGCTCCCGTGGACTCACGTGTGACAAGTGCCCCAGCCGCACGGCTGCTTGCACGTGACAGCTCAGTGGCAGGGGAGAGGCCGAGAGAATAGAGGTCTTTTCAGCAGGGACGGGCTTGCAGTTGAGAGCTGAGGGAGCAGTTGAGGCTGTTCCAAGGGCATGTGCATGAACTCCTTCGAAGTCAAGAGGAAAACAGTGCCTCCAGCCACGCCGCACAGCAGCCAGGGCCTGCGAGGGGCCTGGGATAGAAAGGCAGGAAGGCTGCCCGTGCACAGGGTGGACCCTCCACGGCCACCCACCCTGGAGAGCCCAACGCTCGGGCACCGAAACCCAAATCAAGTACTTACTGTGACTAGGAAGTGCTGTTTGCATGTAATTTTCTCCCTAATCAGTGCCCATCCTTGCCTCTAATTGTCTTCCCTCCCATCCAGAGTGTCACTGAATCTTTTAGCCCCTGACTCAATCTCTCTCTCTGATTCCCCCTCTGCCCTCCCCTCCCCTCGCTAATGCACAGCTCACACCTGCGCGCAGGTCTCTCCGCCCACTCCAGCACATTCTTCCTAGGCTGCTGCTACGTAGCTGTGCACACGATTTATCCCACGAACAATGGCCACTAAGTCTGACCATGTTGACATGCAGGCTCCAACAGCCAAGAAACCTACGAAGACTGCCTGCCACACACATGACACACACGGTATGGACATGCATGCCAAGGGGACTCCGAGAAGGGGAACAGGCTGCCATGCTCAGACGTGCTGTGTGGTGTCTCGGTGCTGGGGCTGAGGGTGCACGGTGAGTTGTGGGAACGCACTCATTTCATGTGGCTCTGCTATTTGTGCCCCTCCTGTCGGAAAACACCCCTAGGAGCAAGGCGAGGACAGAGGGGGCAGGCCATGGTCTAGAGCCTGCTGGGGGGGGGGTTGTCATGGCAACCTCCTTCCCATGCCCCCCAACCACCCACCAAATGTTCATCTGGGAGACACTTCAGAGAGCTGGCGGTGAGGCCTCAGAAACCCCCCTGGCCCTAGGATCCTGCCTCCCTTCCCGGCCACTCCAGTCCGGGCACAGCCAGGGCCTGCCGAGAAAGGGAGGCCACACAGCTTCGGTTCCAGCCAAAGCTTGGGATGAAATCCACTACGATTTTGCAGCTTCTCTGGCCTAAACAATCTGAGCAGTGTTGGGACAGTGCGCAGTGTGAGTGATCTGTAATTTTTGGAACCTGGAAGGAATGGGAAGAAATAAAACTACACATTTTTATACCCATGCATTTCATGGATTAAAAACACTGAGACCCAGAAAAAAGAAGTAGGGGCAGAACAGGAACAAAAATCTTATTTGTCCATAGCTTATTTTGGTTAAGTATTAAATGATTTTTTTTGAAACCTCAGCTATATTCTTTAACTAAAAGAGAATAGACTTAACTACCTTTTTTGATAGTACAAGGGGTGCGAACTTTAAAATAGTTGCAAAATGCTGCTGAACAGGGCCTGGGCTTGATCTCTTCATATGCCAAAATTTAGGCTTCTAGGGGCCCATTTGGGGTTCTTTTTTCTATTCCAGGTGGCTTTTATTTTAGAGCCTATATGCAGTGATAAAATTAATTTTCTTTCCATCAGTATATCTTTAAAACCACTGGTCAAGCAATAATAGTGCTTTATATTGGTAAAATACGTATTTTATTTAGTCATATATTTCAGGGCAAAAACATTATTCTTCTAGTTTCAAGCCTTGGGCCCAAATATAGTTCTCCCAAGAATGATGAGTCATCCATGACTTTATAGGTAAATGGTTGACAAAAATTGTGCCCCTGTGTCATGGGGCAACCTAACCAGTTAACTCATCTTCCTTAGAAGGAGGAGGTCTCCAGCCCCTCCTGGACATGCCATCCAGATTTTCATCTCAACTCCATCACTCACTTTCTGTGACCCTGAGCCTTCTAAACTCTCCTCCTGCAATCACTCCTCTCTAAAATGGGAGGAAACTGACTTCCCAGCAAAGTCCCGTGGAGGAGCGAGGTGACACGCGCCAAGGAGAGCCAGGAACACCTGGAGACGCGGCAAGCACTATTTTTATTTCTTACCTGAAAGCAACAGTCTCTCCACGGAGTCGGCTGTGTTGGCTTTTCCGCCCATAATGTTTGTGGTCGGATCGTGTCTGTATTTAAATCAAACACAATATTTAAGCTACCAGAAATAAGAAAACAAAGAAGGGAAAATTCCATCACATAGGTTTTTTTTTCCTTCCGTCTATTCATCCAGATGGTGATAATTAGTGGGATCGCCTGTGTGCACCTGTTATTGTTTATATACACGTTGCACCTATAGGAGTGCGCGGGGAACTCTCCAGTTGAGCGTGGAGTGATGCTATGGGATCAGACGCAGCCTACAGTGCTAGGATTCACTTCTTGGGTGGAGTGAAGAATAGCGTTCTTGGTGGAGGAGGGACCTGCAAAGCCAGTGAAAACTTGGCCTGCCAGCCAAGGGACTCATCTCCCTGCCTTCTAAAGTTCTGCAGTCAATAAAGCTGCTTCACACTCTGAACTTAAATGCCTGGTTATAGCAAAAGCAGCCACATCCATCACTTGGTGTTTCTCAAAACACTGTCTTAGTCTGTTTTGTGCTGCTATAAAAGAATACCTGAGAGGTGTGTAATTTATAAAGAGAAGAGTGTTTAGCTCACAGTTCTGCAGGCTAAGAAGTTCAAGGGCATGGCCCTGGCTTCCAGTGAGGGCTTTCCTGCTGCACTGTAATATGGTGCAGAAGGTCAAAGGGGACATGGACAGGTACAAAGAGAGGGAAACCTGAGGGGCCTGCTGGCTTTATTACAACCCACTCTCCAGGGAATTAATCCAGTCTCTTGAGAGCTAGACACCTCTCACTACCAGTAGCACAGCACCGAGCCATGCATGAGATCTGCCCCCAGGACTCAGACACCTGTCAACACTGCCACATGAGGATCACATCTCAACATGCATATTGGTGGCAACAAACAAGCCACATCCAAACCAGAGCAATCCCCACCAGGGCCCCACTCCAGACCTACAAAATTGAGTTATCTGGGGGTGGTGCCTGAAAAGAAATCTATTTTAAACATCAAGGGGTTCTGACACTCAGTTGAGTTTGGGATCGTCTGGACTCAAAGGAACTCAAGGCTTTGAGTGAAGACCTTAGTTCTGTTCCAGGTTTTGGATGATGGATGCTTTTTAAAAAATCAATCACCATCCAGAATATCAACAGTAACTTTGAATATTTTGGTGGGACTTTGCCTTTCTTTCCTCTGACTTTTTGGAGTTTGGGGGAGAGGAAGGGAGATGGGATTGTTGGGATTTTTGGTGTTTTTCTTTTTCAGATTCAATAATCTTCTCAATGACTAAGCTATGTAGAAAGCAAAGCTAAAGTGCTGGTGGGATGGCTCATGCCTGTAGTCCCAGCTACTCCTTGGGAGGCTGAGGCAGGAGGATCGCTTGAGCCCAGGAGGTCAAGGCTGTAGTGAGCTATGATTGTGCCAATCCACTCTAGCTGGGGCGACAGAGTAAGACCCCTTTTCTAAAAAAAAAGAAAGCAAAGCTGTTCCAGGTTTTGCTGGTAGCTTCCTGTCTTTCCTTGTGACTTTGGGCAAGTTGCTTCCCTCTGGGTCTGTCTCTAAAATAAGAATGTTAGATATAAGTGAATTCCCACTTGTGTACTAGGGGGAGGGTAGTATAAAGAAAGTTAGGTTGGGTATTGGTTCCCTGCCTCAAGAGTTAATCAAGGGCCTGCTAAAAGTCTATTTACAAAGACTTCACATGACGCCAGATCAATTGGGAACATCTGCATGGGATGCAGGACATGGACAGCCCCAGAGCTAGTTTAAGGTGGCTTACATGTGCATGGTTATTCTAGAAATTGCATTTTTAAGATGTTAATCTCTGAGGGAGTCATATTTGGACTGTGGCATCTTGAGAGTCTCCCTTGATTTCTATGAGTCATGATTTCCTCATCCTTAAAAGTAAGGGGTGAACTAGTCCCCACTTAGGGGTCTAACATTTTGCCATTCCAATGGTCCATGTCAAATCCACATGCCCCCACCCTGTGAGCAGGCCTTATGGAATGTCACTTGTGCCTTCACCCAGGGTGAGTCAGCTGAGCCCTGGGAACACGATGTTCACCCTTAGTCTTGTTACCATTTGCTGTGGACTGAATTGTGGTTCCCCCAAAATCCATACGTTGACTGTACTTGGGGATAACACCTTCGAAGAGGTCAGAGAGTTAAATCAGGTCATAAAGTGGGGTCCTGATCCGATAGGATTGGTGCACTTATAATAGTAAGAGAGAGCAAGCTCCCTCTTTTCACTCAAATGCACCAAGGAAAGGCCACGTGAGTACACAGCCTAGAGAGAGCCCTCACCAGAACCCACCTCCAAGCTCATCCTCCAGCCTTCAGACCTTGACAAATATATGTCTGTTGTTGAAGCCACCCAGTCTACGGTCTCTCATGTTGTGGTCACCTGAGCTAAGATACCGTCACACCACAACCACTTAGGCTCCTGGGCCGGGACCAGCTGAGGCAGCCATGCAGCTGGTGTGGACACCACACTCTGCCTCCTGGCAGCAACTTCGTCCTAAGAAAGGTTTTGCTGTCATTTGGAGTGTGTGTCTTGTCTCCCAAAGTCAAATACAAGCCCCCTGTCTGCAAATCTCTCATGAGGTGGGCATTTTCAGACATTTTCCTGGATGAAGAAATGGAAGCTCTGAAGGGGGTGGCCAGTGCTCAGTCCCACCGCACGGAGAGAGCACCCCCTGTTGGGGGCAGGGGCTGCAACTTCTGGCTCTGGGCTATGGTGCCACCTTCCTCCGGGCCTAGGCTCTGGCAGCCCTCAGCCCTGTGGAGGGGTATGGGGTGGGGTGGAAGCTGGTGCCCCTGCCTGTCTTTTACCATCTGGGGCCCACACAGGTGGAGCAGTAGCCCCAGCATCCTTATGCAGTCGATGCCCAACAGGGGTGGGAGTGGGCCGTGGTGGCTGGGGGTGGGGGTGCAGTGTAGTATCTTTCCCAAAATGGCATCTCAGCTGCCACCTCATTCTCCCATTCTCCCTGGGAGGCGGGCATGGGCCAAGGCACCAGCCACAACCTGGCAGCATAAGGCCAGAAAGGGGGTCTGAGTTATTTCCAATATTTCAAAAAGATCACACATGTAAAAGAATGAAGTTGGACACCTTCTTCATTCCATATACAATAATCAACATAAAATGGATCCCAGGCCTAAATGTAAAAGCTAAAACTATAGAACTCTTAGAAGAAAACATAGGTATACATCTCCATGATCTTAATTTCTTAGATATGACTCCAAAAACTACAAGTGAAAAGAAAAGATAAACTGGAATTCAAGAAAGTTTAAAACCTTTGTGCTGCAAATGATACCATCGGGAAAGTGAAAAGACGATGCACAGAATGGGAGAGAGTATTTGCAAATCGTGTATCTGATAAGGAATTTGTTTACAGAGTACATAAAGAATGCTTATAACAATAATAAAAAGATAAGTAATCCAATTTCAAAAGTGGGCAAAGGACCCAAATAGATATTTCCCCAAAGAAGATATATAAATGGCTAACAAACACATGAAAAAATAATGCGCAACATCATTAGTCATCAGGGAAATGTAAACCAAAATCACAGTGTAATACCATTTCATACCAACAAGGGTGGCTATGACCAAAAAGAAGGGAAATTAGTACTGAGGAGGATGTGGAGAAAACAGAAGCCTCATACACTGCTAGGGGGAGTGTGAAATGGTTAAGCCATTTTGAAAAACAGCTGGGCAGTTTCGCAACATTTTAGGCACAGGAACCATATGACCCAGGAATTCCACTCCTAAGTGTGTACCCAAGAGAAATGAAAAGTAAGGTCTACACAAAACCTTGCACATGAATACTCACAGCAGTATTATCCATAACAGCCAAAAGGTGGAAACCACCTGAATGTCCAACACCACACTGTGGTGTATCTGTACAATGGAATATTATTTGACAATAAAAAGGAATGAAGTAGGGACACATGCTATAACACGGATGAATCTTGAAAACACCATGCTACGTGAAGAGAGCCACAGAAAGGCCACTTTTTATATAATTCCATTTAGATGAAATGTCCGGAATAGGCCAATCTACAGAGACAGAAAATAGACCTGTGATTGACACGGAATGAGGACCATGGGTAAAATGGACATAGGGTTTCTTCTGGGGTGATAAAAATGTTTTAAAATTAGATTGTGGTGAAGGTTGAACAACCCTGTGAATATACTGAAAGACACTGAAATGTACACTTGAAAGAGGTAAACCGTAATATGTGAATTGTATTTCAATCTTTAAAACAAGATTAATGAAATTCGTATAACCCCATTTTAAAATGGAATGGGCCAATTTAAATGCAACTATTGCTTTCGTCGGGAATCGCTGAGCTTTGAAATACTGATAGTCTCACACTGACCACAAGCTGATTGGTAGAACCGAATACTTTTCACTTAAACATTTGAGTACATTCTACCCGCTGCCAAGCCTTGTGCAAACATCAGTGAAATAAGGTCATAAAGAAGTGCATTAAGGTACAAATGGCTAGCTAGACAACACCAAAACCCTCAAGCCCTTGAAGACGACATAGAGTGTATAAAACCTGGTGGCTGGGTGGGCACCAGTGAGCCGAGCAGGCAGCAGCGACATGTGGCCTCTCCCGCACTGACGGGAGTGGGGGTGTAAGGACGCCTCTGAGCCCCCACCGGGGCCTGGGGAGAGCCGCTCAGCCCACGAGCGAGGGCCCACCTCGGGGCGCAGGCAGCCCACCTCATTACCTGCTGTTGGCTCTGTGGCGCCCCCACCAGCTTCTAGAGAGCTCTGAGAGTGTCTTCTAGGGCAGGCGCCGTCTCCACGGTGGCCCTGGCAGCGCCCCAGGGCTCAGGGCGGCTTGCTGTCTCCCTCCCGCCCGGCAGAGGGCGCCTGCACTTCCGGCCTGTTCATGAGCGGCAAACAGAGCGCGCCGAAATTCACAGGCGATGCTACTTTGGCAGGTGCCGGCAACACGGCTCCCAGAGAGAAAGCAAACGGTCTGTGGAGGGAGAGGTTAGAAACCCAGGCAAGCGCTAACCAAGTGAGGCGGGTTGGAACACAACGCGTGTTCGTGAACACCACTGGCAGAGGAGGAGGAGAAGCCGGGTCCTTTGGGCCTAAGGAGGCCCAGGTGTGGCGGTCATCTACAGCAAATTGGACCGGGCTGTGCCGATGACAAGGGCCGCGCCCATTGGAGCCATTCGCTCAGCCAGCCAACGCACGCCGAGCCGACTGTTCTAGCAAAGCCCGCGGTCCTGCCATGATGGGCGCAAAACCCTTCTCTTTCAAAGCCATTTCTGTGTCTGCTGCCATTCTGCCGAGTGGCATTTACAGACCTTCTTAGAGCATAAGGATTTGTTGGGACCAACATGAGCCCGTAGAGATGAGCGTTGCCTAAGCAGGTTTGCACAGCCGGTCCCGCGTCAGCTGAGCAGGGCACAGCCCAGATGGCGAACACCCACAGGTCCCATGATGTGAAGAAAGGCTGGACGGGCTGGACACTTACAGGGCGGAGGAGGGGTGGGCAGAAGCAGAGAGGTGAGCTCTGACAGGCCCAGCGGGGAGGTTGGAAGCGGCACAGTCACTGGCTGGTGAGCGGGGCTGGAGGAGGAACGCCAAGTGCTGCGAACTGAACTGTGTCCCCTCCAGACTCACACACTGAAGCCCTAACCCCCCAATGGGATGGTAGTTGGAGATGAGGCTATTGGGAGGTAATTAGGGCTAGATAAGGTCATGAGGGGCCTCATGGTGGATTAGTGGCTTCATAAGAAGAGAAAGAGAGCGAGCACTCTCTCTCTGCATGTGAGGACACTGGGAGAGTGGCCGTCTGCAAGCCTGGAAGAGAGCCCTCACCAGGAACCAAATAGGCTGGATTTCCAGCCTCCAGAACTGTGAGAAATTAATCTGTGTTGTTTCAGCCACCCAGTGTATGGTATTTTGTTATAGCAGCCCAATGGACTAACACACCAGCGGTGCACAATTGGAGGCAGATAGAGTCACTCATATATAGCAAAGGACTCAGGAGCATTCACTCACAACTGCTGAAAAATCCCACATCTCTCATGCACTCAACAAGACCCAGGTAACCAGACACTAATGACACCGCATGGTGCCAAAAGCAGAGCCTTGCTCTTTCGGGGTTTGTATTCTATGGACCTCACCATATGGCTAGGAGTTCAATAAACGCATTTCTGTGTGCCTGTGAACTGAAATACTTCAAATACAATGATTTCCTAAGACTTAAATTGATGTCGGGACAGACTTTAGAAAATGTTGACTCTTTTTTGTCACTCAGATAAAAGCATATGAGACACCAGACACTCTCTGAAGTACTTCAGATTTTTAAGTCTTATGACATGAGCCCCATGGAGTGATATTCTTATCCCCATTTTACAGATTGCAAAACAAACTTGAAGAGGTGTAGGTAACTTTCCAGAGTTTGCACAGCTTTCAGGTTAACAGAGCCAAGACTCAAAATAAGGTCTGTGCAAACATCCCAGGTACCCCATAAAGATACACAATTATTGTGTATCGATTAAAAATGAAATAAAAATAAGGTGTGACTCTAAAACTTTGCCTTAACTGTGTATTCATGGCACATTGTGTTACGGTTATGTCTGTAACACTCAGTGTTCTTTCTGCAAATACATACCTTCCATTGGCCGGCAACCATTATTCCAAAATCAAGAACTTTCTTCTGTCTCTTGGTTGGTGAATGTGAGGGGCAGCTGTTTATTCCCAGACTTCACTCCCAGAGGGTCGGATCTGCAGGTTGCAGATGATGCCAGGGAAACTTCCATGCCCCCATGTCATAGTTTCAGTCCTTAGACTTGTCACTCTGTGTTCACAAGATGGCCACCAAAGCTCAGGTCTCTTACACTCACACAGCAACATCAAACGAGACCCAGTGTCATTAGTGTCCCTTCTTAGCTTTCCCAAAAGCACCTAGCAGACTTCCCTCACACCTCATTGGCCAGAATTGTGTCACATGCCCATTCCTAAGCCAATCACTGGCAAGGGATATCACATGCCCATTCCTAAGCCAATCACTGGCAAGGGATATCACATGCCCATTCCTAAGCCAATCACTGGCAAGGGATGTCACATGCCCATTCCTAAGCCAATCACTGGCAAGGGATATCACATGCCCATTCCTAAGCCAATCACTGGCAAGGGATATCACATGCCCATTCCTAAGCCAATCACTGGCAAGGGATGCCACATGCCCATTCCTAAGCCAATCACTGCCAAGGGAAGTGTAATTACCATGATTAGTTTAGATTAGTCAGGACTCATCTTTGGGTCCGGGAAGGAGGGATAGTTAAAAGACCTGACTAGTCTGCCTGCTGCTTGAACAAATGCAAGGTCTATCAGGAAGAAAGCTATTAACTCTTGGCCAGGACACAGTGAACATTATTTATTACATTTGGGGTGAGAGATTATGGAAAAAAGAACTGGGAGAGACTTGACCCTTTTATACCACCCTCTACAGATTTATAGGGATTTTCCTGGAGGATATTATAGACCGCCTGTAACCTTTTTAGTGCTAGTAATCCTCACTCTAAGAACATTATTTATGTGTTATCTATAAAACAAAGCATTGACCCAGGTTCACCCGGCTCTAAAAGACTGTCGGGACCAAGTGAATGGGACTTGAGGGCTGGAAAGGTTCAGTGGGTGAGGGAAGGATCCCTGAACCCTGGATTTTAGGCCCCAGTGGCAAGAACACAGGGTGGGTGAGTGGGGTGTTGCCAAGTCAGGAGGAAGAGGAGTTGGCTTGAGAGAGTCCATGGATAGGTGGGGAAATTGCAAATACTTACCTGTTTTGGACAACTTGAAACCATGCTCAAATCATCCAGAAAAATATACAGAGTTCTCATCCTTTGATTTCCTCTTTTTTTGTGTGTGGTGGTTGTTTTAGTTTTAATCTTCTAGCGACAGGACGGGGGCAGCCCATGAGGGGAGGTGGCAAGGCTGAGCTGGTGACAGTCACGGAGCCCCACTAGGCTGCCTTGAGTCTGCGTCACTGATCGGTTCTAGCTTCAAAGCCCACATGCCACCGACACATCGCCACTGAGCAGGGCCGGAAAGTTCCAGACCAACAGTTCCTTTCCTTCCAGCGTCTTTTTGCCTCAGACGACCTGGGAAACGCAGCAGCCACGTGGGCCCGGGAGTTTTATTTAGAATGGCTGGGCTCTGTGCCCTCCACGCTCGTGGCCCACCTGGGGCCCGCGAAGCGTTTGCACCTGGGCCACCCTCCGGAGGCAGAAGTGGGGGGTGCACGTACAGCCTGCCTGTGTCTCTCCCTCTACCGCTTCCTGGGTGGCAGGCCAAGGGAGGGGACGTGATGTCGTCAGGCAGATGTCTGGGAGCTCAGGGAAAGTAAAAAAGGAAGTAAGGAATGTGTCTGACAGGCCCCAGCGAGCAAAATTAGCATCAGCCACAGGCAGGAGGTTCTCCAGTTACTTTTCCTCTGCTCGAAACCTTAGTAACTTTGCACAGACTGTTATAGATATGTGGGGCTGCTGCACCCAGCACATGAGAGGAAGCAAGTGAAAATAATGGGGCTTTCATTCATTCATTCAACTCAACATTTAGTGAAGGCTCACACTGTAGCAATGCGCTGTGCTAGACACCCTGGGGTGGGATGGGGAAATTTACGACAAACAGGAGTTGCCCTAAAGATGCAGTTTCATGAAGGGGCAGAGAGGAGCTCGGGCAGCAGGTAAGGGCCAGGCTTCTGCGGAAGACAGCGCTGGGCTGCTGGTTACTAGCTGCCTGACTCTTCACAAGTTATTTAACTCCTGTAGGCCTCAGTTTGCCTATCTGCAAAATGGGGATAATAAAAGTGTCTAGTTTATAGGATGGTTGTAATAGGAGATAATGTATATAAAGTGCTCATCCAGGGCCTGGCTCAGAATACCCCTCAACAAATGCCAGTGACTGGTAGGTATTATCAAGGGAGTGGAAATCACTTTGTCATAGGGATAACCCTGAACCTGTTTAAATTTATTTCTAACCGTTTTTATTGTGCAGTATAAAACACGTAGTGAAGTACATAAAACAAATGTATAGATCAATGGATTATCATATATGAGATACACCCATTAACCACTCAGGCAAAGAACAAAAGCAGGACCCTAGAAGCCCCTCCCAATCCGCACTGCCTCTGATCCCCAGAAAGGTACTTGCTGTCTGTTTAGGACAACTCTTTCTTGCTTTTCTTCACACTTTTACTACATAAGCATCCATCCCTAAATGCCCATATTTTTGTCTTTTAAAAAAATTTATCTGAATGGAATTATACAATATTCATTCTTTGACTTGTTAGGCTCAGCATTGTTTATAAGAATCATTCCAGTTTATGTGTGTAGCCATAATTCATTCACTGGTATTATTACATAGTATTCCATATGCCTCGATATATTTATCATTTTTACCATGATGCACATTTGGTTGTTTCTACTCTGCAGCTATTATGAATAATGCTACTGAATATTGTCTGTGTATGTACCCAGGAATGGTATTGCTGGATCGTAAGTTATGTATATATTTAGCTTTAATAGAGAATGCCAAATTGTCTCCCAAATTGGTTGTACCAATTTACACTTTCACCAGCAACGTGTTAGATAGTTGCTTCATATCCTTGTCAACACTATTTTCCATCTTTTAAATTTTTGCCATGCTGGAAGATAAATGGTAGCAACTCGTTGTGAATTTAATTTGCCTTTCTCTAATTAGTAATGCCGTTGAGTGCCTTCCATATGCTTATTGGTCATTTATTTACTTTTTTGTGAAGTGTTTATTTCAGTCTCTTGTTCATTTTTCTATTCAGTTGTCTTTTTCTTCCTGATTTATAGGTGTTCTTTATATATTCTGGATATGACCTTTTGTTGGCTATGTTTCACAAATATCTTCTCTCTTAGGGCTTGCCTTTTCATTCTCTTCATGGTGTCTCAATGAACAAAAATTCTTGATTTTAAAGTGCTGCAATTTATCAACCTTTTCCCTTATGGTTAGTGTTTGTTGTATCCTGTGTAAGAAATAAGGTCATAAAGCTAATCCTCTATACGCTATAGTGGAAGCTTCAATGTTTTACATACTCATCTAAATGACACTTCAATTGAAATCGACTTTTGAGTATGGAGTACGGTGGGGTCCAGTTTCCCTTTTTTCCACGGGGATATCCAGCTGACCCAGCACCATTTTTAATAAAGACTATTCCTTCCCTTCAGCCCTGCAGCATGAACCTGATCATAAATCAACCATCCACATATGCATAGGTCTGTTTCTGGGCTCTATTCTGTCCCACTGGTCTATTCCATATCATACTCTGAATTATTGTGACTTCATAATGACTCTAGGAGACCATTTGTTCTTCGAGAATGTCTTAGCTATTCAATTTACTTCTCAAAGTAAATTTGTTTTACCCTTGCTACTTTTTAAAGAAAGAAAATTGTTTTTGATTTTGAAATGCTTTCAAATTTACAGAAAAGTTTCAAGAATAGGACAAATAACTTTCTTCCCAGAACCATTTGAAAGTGAGTTGCCAATATGATGCCTCATCACACAAAATACCTCACACAAGAACAATTTCCTATGTAACCACCATAGAATCATCAAAATAAAAAAATTGCCATATTTTTATCATCACACCCACAGCCCCTGCTCAAATCTGCCAATCATCCCAGTGATACCTTTTATTGCAAAGGATCCAGTCTAGCATCATGGACTGTATTTATTATGTCTCTTTTGTTTCCTTCAATTTGGACCAGTTCTTCAGGTTTTTTTCCTTAACTTTCATGATTTTAATGCTTCGGAAGGTTATAGGTCAGTTACTTTGTAGACTGTGCCTCACTTGGGTGTGTCTGATGTTTCCCTGTGATTAGATTCACGCTGCACATTTTTTTGGCTGGAGTATCACAGAATGTTGTTGTGCTCTCACTGCATTCTATCAGATCTTGATGTGACCAATTCCTGGTCATTTTAATGTTGATCACTTGACTTAGGTGGTCTGTCATGTTTCTTCACTGTAAATTTACTCTATTTAGTTTCATAGTTCATAAGGTGGGAGTGAGACTACATAGGGAGGTGAGACTACAAGGTGGGATTTGAGACTACATAAACATCCTGTTTCTCAAAAAACTTTCCTCCTTCATCTTAACATCTATTGATGTTTTTGGCTGGATTATTACTATGATGGTTGCCAAATAATGATTTCATAATTCTATTATTCCTTCTACATTTATTAGTCTGCATAATATCCTGAGGAAAGCTTTTTCCTTTCTTCATTCATTCATTCATTCATTCATTCATTCATATATTAATAAGGACCCGTGGTGTCAGTCTGGACTCGGCCTATGTTGTTCACTGAGTTACTGTCATTATTTACTTTGTTGCTGAAACTGTTCCTGATTGGCCAGTGATAGCCCTTTCAAGTTGGCACTGCCCTTTTGTTATGTCCCCATCTTGTATTTTTCCATGCCTATTTCTATTAGGTGTTTCTTCAAGAAGTCATGGTTGCTTTCAGTGGAAGATGGTAATTAGAAAACAAGATCTGGGCATCTGCTGTGGTCAGTGCTGTTAGGATGTTGTTGCTCCCAGCTCCTCTCAGCGACAGGACTGAGGAATATCTGTATGAATAGACATACAGACCTGTGTGCATACTCTATGTGGGTTTGAACATGGACATATAAATATGCATTCACATTTATAATTTCACATCAATATCTCCAATTCCAAACCAACACTACAGAACTCATTTTAATTTTTTTCCCTTTCCCTATTTGTGACTCCCTTATCTGACAGTAGGATATCTGGCTCCCATTATCCCCAGTGTATTTATCATTGGGCCAGTGCCTCCGTGAGTAATGACTTTCCCATCACTACTGCCACTGTTCCTCCCCACCAACCCTCCTCCCACCACCTGGGCTCTGACCACTGCTGGATGCCCCTCACCCTGCTCAGACTCAGGCATCTCCCTCTTGGCCATCACCACCCCTCAGCCCCTGAGTGGAAGCCTACCTAGCTCGGCTCTACCTAATGGCTTTTGGACTTAATTATTCAGGAAGGAAAAAGGCAGCATGAAAGGAGGGCACTCAGCTACT